TTGTAGTCATTTCTCATCCAGGATGGCCAGTTGATCGTCTTGCCGTCGTCCGTCACCAGTGGATTGCTCCACAGCGGCAAAGTCAGGGCCTCGATTCGGTTGTTGGGCCTGCGTGGCGCGGGTTTGAGCTTGTACCATGCAGCGAGCGCTCGGCCCCAGAAATGGCTGACCTTTTTGATACCCGGTTTCGAGTGCAGCAGCCGCCTGTCACCGATTGGCTCGCCGTCGTGCGTGTCCGCCGCCCTCCACAGCAACTGCGTCACTGCTTTCCACAGCGAGGCGGCCGGCAGGCAAAAGTTCGTAACTGCTTGGGCGAGCATCGCCTGGCAGTGTTGGTCGATGGGAAGCAGTCCCAGCCCGAAGGCCTCCGAGCCAGTTTTTGCGCAGAGCGTTGCGAGTGTTGCGGGTGCTTTGAAGCGCGTGGGCCAGAAGAAGCGCAGAATGATGCGTTTGAGCCGGTCCAGGTAGTGACCGCACAGTGGAGTGAACCTTGCCCGATACCAGACCTTGCTCAGCCCGATTGCGTTCGCGATGACCACCTTGCCCGGCATCGACAAGCCCCTGCTGTTCCATCGCAGTAGCTGAGCCTTCACCTTGTCCAGCAGCTCTTTGTAGTTTGCCTCCTCGCGGTCGCCATAGCCCAACATTGCGCCCAGGACTCTGGTGCACTTGTCAGGTGGCAGGAAGTCGAGGTGAGCGATCGCTTGCAGTGGAGTCTGGCGCTTGTCTCGCCCGAGTCTGATGACTGTCGTCTTTTCTTCGTTAACTTTCAGGTTTGTGGCTTCCCCTACTCGTTTGAGGGCCGCCATCAGCTTCGGTATCTCGTTCTGTGATTCCAGGAAAACCGTCGTGTCGTCGGCAAACAGGGTGACCTCGGTCGCCAGGTTCGGGTCCAGGCGCAGGAAGCGCAGGCCAGCCCCTTTGCAGAGGTAGTCCGCCACGCAGCATGCATACAGCGCGTACAGCGCTGGCGCTTCCACCGATCCTTGACGCACCGACCGCTCGATCTTGAAGGGCTCCGAGATGCGGTTTTGGTACACAATGCAGGCTTGGCATCCCGTGTTGAGGAGCTTCATCCAGTGCAAGAATCTTTCTCCAATCCCATATCGCTCCATGGCCTGGAACAGGAAGCCATGGTCGACGCGGTCGAAGGCCTTTTCGCAGTCCAGCAGCACCGCGACTCCTCCAATGCGCTTTTCCTTCGTCAGGTCGAGCACGTCGCGCACTAGGTGGATGCAGTTGTCGATCGTGCGTCCTAGGACAAAACCGTTCTGGCATGTGGGGAGAATGTCGTTGGCAACAGCTTGAAGACGTTGCACCAGCGCGCGTGCAATGATCTTGCTGTCCACGTTGAGCAGCGAGACTGGCCGGTAGTTTTTCAGCTCGTCTCGGTTGCCCTTTTTGAACAGAAGCTTGATGTGTGCCATGTACATTGATGCAGGTAGGCGCCCGTTTCGCATTGACCGATTCGCGATGGTTGCTAGCAGCGGGGCCAGCAGCTCTTCAAAGTGATGGTAGAACTCAGGCGTCAGCCCGTCAGAGCCTGGGCTTTTGCCTTTGGTCGTTCTTTTGATCGCCTCTCGGAGCT